AGGGAGAAGGGAGGGAGGGAGGGAGGGAGGGAGAAAGGAGGGAGGGAGGATGAAAGTATATAATAGAAGTACTTTAACTTACAAAACACCTGTCAAAATATTCTCCTTTGCATTTGCATTTAGTTTGAGTCTCAGTATTACCCAATCCCATGACATTGTTGGATATCATGGAGCCAATTTCATCTCTGTCCTTGGAACATTACACCAGGATACCAACCAAGTCTTTTGTTCTAAGGAGAATCACAGAAGCAGCAATATTAAGTCCTTACATTTGTTTCTGCCATTCCTGAATGTCCCACTGAAATCAAAATCCATTTCAAAAACAGAGAATAATCAGACATGTGTTTTTCTTTATCACTTTCCCATTTTTCACTCCATTCCTGAGTTCTTTTTGCCCCCCAACCTCCTCATGGCAATTTTCACCTCTGCATTTCTGAGTGTGTAGATGATGGGGTTCAGCATGGGGGTGACAACTGTGTAGAACACAGCCACCAGTTTGTCCTCAGTGAAGGTGGAGGAGGCTCGCATGTAGAGGAAGGTGGCAGGTCCAAAGAACAAGAGGACCACCATGATGTGAGAGGCACAGGTGGAGAGGGCTTTGTGCCTCCCCTCTGCAGAATGGTTCCTCAAGTTGAACAGGATGACAACATAGGAGGACACCAAGATGAGGAAGGAGCACAGAGCAATTAAGCCACTGTTAGCCAACACAATAACCCCCTCCATAGAAGTGTCAGTGCAGGCAAGTTTGAATAATGGCTGAAGATCACAGAAGTAGTGGTCAGTCACATTGGGACCACAGAAGGGCAACCGGATGGTGATGAGAATCTGTATAATGGAATGAAAAAAGCCACCAAGCCAGGAGCCAGTCACCAGTACATGACACAGTTGGTGGCTCATAACGTTCATATAATGAAGAGGCCTGCAGATGGCCACATAGCGGTCATAGGCCATCACCACAAGCAAAAGGATCTCAGTGACCCCAAAGAAGTGGAAGAAGAATATCTGAGCCACACAGCCCTCCAGGGAAATGGTTTTAATCTTGGCAAGTAAGTCTGTGATGAATTTAGGGACAATAGTAGAGGAGTAAGTGATCTCCACCAGGGAAAGGTAGCTAAGGAAGAAGTACATGGGGGAATGCAGACTCTTACTGACGTTGATTGTCAGGACAATGAGGCCATTGCCCACCAATGTGGCCAGGTACATGGGAAGAAACACAACAAAACACACTCTCTGCACCTCCAGATCCTGGAAAAGGCCAGCGAAAATTAACTCAGTCACATTATTTGTACTGGATTCCATGTGGAGAAGATAGATCTCAGAGAAGAGTCCTATGACAAAACAAACATCATAACACCAATCATGCATGCTTATTTAGCACTTGCCTGTTAATAGAACCCTTTCATATATATTATCTTACTGGTTTATTTTACTTACTTATTTGTTAATATAACCAATGTTTACCCATCAAGTAAACTTCTGCTCATGAATCCCTTTTTCCTCCATTTACTTCTCAGAAATGCCAATCTCACTAATAGGTCTCCCTTTCTAAAGAGTGTCTTCAATATTTTCCTTACATGATATTATCAAAGTTTCTGAATTTTTCAGGCCCTATGGTTTTGCCCAATCCCACATCTCTTCATGAATTTTTACAAACATTTTGAGAAAATTGTGACACCTGGGGCCAAAGTGGACATCTGGAAGCTGTTGAGAATATAGGTCAGTATCAAACAATAGTTCAAATATAATATATGGGGATTCACCAGTTTGCTTGTTTCTGACTTCCAGTTTTCTCACCTTTGGCAAACATTTTTGTCAGCAGGAGGTGAGGATTTATTGAAAGCCAGTTCTTTGACCAAATGTTTTATTAAGCACCTACCATGTGCCCATGCAATTCAGGACATATGAAAGAAGAAAGATGGCTCTCACCCTCAGGAAGCTTGTCCTTCGTGCAATTCAGCAGCACATTTATGAAATGAGGCAGAGGGAAACTCTCCAGATTTTCTCTGCTTTTGAAATTACTTTTAAGTTGTTGATCATTATGTTGTACACCTGAAACTAATGTAACATTGTGTGTCAGCCATACTTCAGTTAAAAAAACAAGTAAAATTACTTTGAAGTATTTCTTATTCCTCTTATTTTTCCTTCTTCCACTTATACTTCCAAACTGAAATAGATTAAGTACCTCCCTCATCACCAATTTCTCTCATAGTAAAAATTAGAAGATATACACAAGGTGACAATATGCTAAGAGAATCCTCAGCAAGTTACCTGGCTAACACTGGAGAAGAAGTGGGGGGTTGCATGGCATGAAACAAGGGCACCCAAGAAGAACAACTGAACAGGAAAGGGGAAGCAAGAGGAGGTCCCCTTATTGGTGCAGAGGAAGGGAAACAAGGAAGGCATCAGAAACAACCACAGAGGATGTAAAATAGCCTGGTGGCCTGAAGGAAACTAAAGCATTTGTCTACCTGATATTCACCATTGTCATTGTCATCCCAACAGCCACAGCAGCAGATGCTGCTGAACTTTAGTTAGTATCTACTGTGTGTTGGACTGTACAAAGCACTTTACCATTGTCCCCTCAATTAATTCTTCCTGACCACTTTGATGTAGCTAATTGGTAGGTGACTCACCTGTGACTCAGAGAGGGTAAGTAACCTGCCCCAAAACACACAGCTTGTGAGTAATTGAGCCAGGGCTGAAACCCAGGCCTTTCTAGAAAGGGAGGGAGAGCCACCACTCCTCAGCCAGAGGAGAAATGGGTTAGCCACTCCAGCACCTTAGAGAAATAACACCAAGACCTATTGTTAATACAAAACTTGTCCAGTTATGCCTTCCCTGTGAATAGCAGGAGCATTCCAATGAACTCCAAGTTACTGGGAACATTTCATTGCCACCACCTCTGGAATGAGAGAGACCAAGAAGCTATGTGGGATACTGAGGAGAGTGTGAGACTTGGAGATGCCCCTTCCTCCTGTGCCCCCGTGGCACGGCTTTGACCAGGGGTTAGAGCTGCAGCTGGTGATACTGAGTTGTGGAGTCAGTATCTCCAAGCAGGGGTTCCTGACAGACCCCTCTTCTCAGCTGGGTCTTACAGCAGCACCATCATTTCTGCCTGGTCCTCAGGCTTGAAACTTTGAAATCACCTCTAACTCATCCTCTTCTGCATTTCCCACATTTCCTGTTGATTTCACCAGTTTCTTCCTCCACCTCGTCCTGCAGCCTCCATCTTCCAGCAGGATATAAGTTCATGTGAGGATTACCACAATTCCCCCATATTCCATCTGTCTCCAGAAGTCCCATGTCTTTATCACCTCAATGTATTCTGCATACTGAAGTCAGAATTCTCCCTGAGTCCCTCTGCTCAGATCACTCAGAAACGACCAATATATCTCCATTGCCTGGAAATCAGCCCTCAATTCCTCCACCTGACTTTTAGAAGCTCTAAAGTACTTCCTCGTGCTCCTTCAAGCCAACTTTACTGACAACTAAACAACACATATTATTCAATTTAGAGGTCCCCTCACCTTTTCATGAAGGCAAGCTGATAAACACAAGAGCATCTCTTACTTTGCACATTACATGGTGTGCCTGCCCCTCTGCCTCCTGCTCCAAGTCCTACCCCTCTACAAGGTCCAGTGTCTAGGAAACCACCCTGGTTACTTCCATTCTAGTTCATTCACCTCAGCTCTCAACTCTGGAAATGAGTTTACATGATCGCTGTGTTAAATGCAGTAACCCATGTACTGCATGAACTGAGTTCATAGTTCATAGCAAGCCCTCAATAAATGTAAGCTATTTTTATTATTATTATTGTTACACTTCTAAAATGCAAATCTGAACAAGTTATGCATTAACTTGAAATCTATCCATAGTTTTCCACTGCCTACAAGATTAAGTTCAATAGTACTAACATGGCATTTAAGAACTGAAGCCTGTTCACCTTTCTAGCTTCACTTGCCAGGATTCCCCCTGGAGTCTAATTTCCAGCCATTCTGAAATATATATCATTCTCCCAAACTTGTCTGTTGCCTGTATGCTCTTTACATTTTGTGTGGCATGCACACCTTGGCTTTCTGATTCATGTTTATTCTGGCTTTAATGCTTAGATCAAACACCACTTGTCATTCCACTCCAGCCAACACTTCTTCCATGTTTTTTACATCTTTCCACTGGAGTATTTAGCAAATTTTATTATAATTATTGTTTCTGTATCTCTCCCTTACTAAGTTGAGCTTATTCATGTCTGAATCTTCAGAATTAAATACATAGTAAGTGCCCAGTAAATGGTCATTGAGTTGAATTTCAAAATGAAGATATTCTCTACCACCTGTAGTTAGAACATACAATTTATTACAATTGATTTTTATATTGACTTTTATTGCTTACTGTGGTTTTATGTTGCTTATTTGTCTTCAGTTTATTACTCCTTAAACCCACACAGCACGTAAGTGTCAATCTTACAGATGATGTTCAATATCTGATGTTCAATATATATGTATGTATATATGTAGACTTCTGATTGATGATAAATTGACTAAGCAGTAGAATTGATAAGAACTAGATTAATGCTATCTGTCTATATTTTCCTTTCAGCCTATCTTGACCTCATATAACACAGGTGTGACTCTGTTTCACCAAATATATAAAGTTGTGAATAATGTAGATCATTTCTATTTCAGAAACAGACATTTTACTGCACTGGGTCAAAGCTACACATGTTACAACTTTACATTTAAGTTTTCCATGAGCTGGCTGGGGAAGATCCCAAAATCATTATGTTCCATAGAAGACATTTATTGTTCTTTGTTTTGTCCAGTGTTGCATGGACATGAATTGTCTAATTCTCATTAAAAGACTAAATCTCTTACACACTCATGTACATATCATATCTGAGTTTGTTTGTTGAGAAGATTACAATTTGGACCACATGGTATGTATTTTAAAATACAAACAAAAAATTCATTAGGGAAATGTAAGGCAGTTGTATCAGATGAGTACATGGGATTGTGAGACACACACGTGATGAATAGCTGGCGGTCAGAGGTGACCCGCCTTTTAATGGAGGGAATAGTTCCAGGTTCATGGACCTCTAAAGGACTGGAGAAAACAAAACAAGAACACCTATTGAACTGCCTTCCTCTCTCCTCGGGGACTTATCTACAATAGGGGTTATGGTAATAAGCACTGCAGTTGGCAGCCCATTCTTAGCTCTTTTACCCACACGTCATGTGTCCCTGTAGTTTTTTTTTTATTTTATCAGAATAGGGTAACAAATCATATTTGACATGGTTGTTGCAAGAAATAGACTTGAGATAAAATTTATAAAGCACTCAAGAAGGTTGCCTGACAAATAGGATGCTCTCAATAAGTAGTAGCTATTATTAGTTCACACTTCCTGGTATTTATTTACTTTTTTTTTCTGCTTTCTTTTTCCCCCTTGCCCAAGAGAAAGACAGTAACAAATTACCTCCTCTTCCCCCCAGCACTTGCCCAAATAAAACCCACACCCTAGGATCACAGATTACAAGGTAATCATCCATGGATTACATGTAAGCTTAGGTAGGTAAATGATGTTCTAGATCCTAACTAGGTAGAATTTTATCCTCTAAAATAAAGCCACAATGAAAGAAATCTGACAAGGACAAAATAATAAGTGATAGAGAGCCTGGAAGATCTATTGCAATGAACTTAAAGTCACATCACAAGGGCCTCCTTCCCACAACTCACTCTAGACCCCAAGTGGTACTTTATGGAATCCCAGAATGTGAATATTAAGGAGAACTTTAGGGCAAATTCTGTCCAGCCCCCTCCTTTTTACAGAGGCAGAAACTGAGGCTCAGGGAGAAAGAGTGATTCACTCTAGATCACACAGTGATTTGGAGCCTCTTACCCACATCCAGTTAACCTGAGACATCCTTCTGGGTATGGCATTACCTACCTTGTTTGAGTAATGTTCAGTTTTACAGCAAAGATTTGAACATAAAAGTTCTTCTCCTTAGAATTAGGAACAATTTCTCCCTCTGTTGCAAGAGCTCATCACTGAAAGTGATGTCCTGTGCTGAAGAGACTGAAGGAGTGTGCCTTGGAACACAGGAGGCTCTCTACAACAAAACTCTTCCACAGGGTTTCTTCCTCTGCATGGAAGGCCCCCAGTGGGTTAAGCCGCTTCATCTCAGCTAAGGCACCAGGTGAAACAAGAGACTTTAGAGCTGAAAGGCAATTTGAAGGCTATTAGTACAATCTTCATAGTTTACAGATGAAGCAGCTTAGAGCGAGTTTAACTGACTTCTGAGTCA